AGTCCGACTGCAGTCTACGATCAAGCCACACAGCAAGCAACTTCAGCCAGTAGGCTTTTGTCGCCAGCGCTCGGTCTTCGGTTACATCGGCAGGCTGCGTCAGGCACGATTGCCTCGACCCTCCGGCGCTCTCACACCCGACTCACGGGGGCACCGCGCCTGGACTCGTCGGTGGTCGTGTTACGGTCTGACTCACTGGGCTTCTGGCGTAGCCACTGCCTCATGGCTCCTACGACCGCGCTCAACGACTAGCCTTTTCACCAGCCATTCACCTTAACTAGCCTTTCTCCTTACCGGCGCGCGCCCCGCTACCTCACCGGTCAGTCATTTCAGCAACCACGGTCCTTTTCAGGGCCAACAAACTGTTCCGAAGAATTGGGTTGTCATCGGAGTAATGACAAAGACTACACACATTGATAAGACATTCCCACAAGTTTTTACCCGCTTTTTAGGCATAGCTAGATTATAATAATACTGGAAAGTAGGTAAAAATTCATTATATGCATCATTTACTGAAGTTTGCCTAAAAACAGGTTCCAAGACTCCTCCTCCAATAGGTAGTTTAGGTATTGAACATGATCTTCAGTACAAGGTCTAACTGTCCTGAATTGTTCTTTAGCTGCCTCCTTTTATTTATATGCTGCATTTGTACTTATAATATTTGTGCAAAATGATCAGAGAATCCTGTTGCAATTACCTTAAAGTTGTAATCCCATAAGTATTTATTTAATATTATTTGATCTATCGCTGTTTGACTTCTAAATCCTATTCTTGTTGGGACATCAACTAGTGCTTGTAGACCGTATGAATTTAATATTATTTGTAATTGAGGATTTACACTGTTACCCAAGAAATCTATGTTGAAATCGCCTACAATAATAATGCTCTTCCTTTTGTATATTAAATTATTTATTATAGTATCCAGTATTTCAATAAATGTATTAATATTACTATTAGGAGTTCTGTAGACACGAGTAATAATTGTATTGAATTTTGTAAAGTTCAACCATACTGGCCTCGAAATGTTCTTCTTGATTCATGCTTTCAAACTGATTATAGGGCTTTGCTTCTAGATTTGATTTAATATAAATACACGAACCTCCATGCCATTTATTTTTCATACAAAATTTTGAAACAAGGGAATAGTTTTTTAAAATTATTAGTTAAATTAGTTAATTAGTTAAAATATATATTAGACTTCCTTTTCCGGTTTGTATTGCATGTATATTTATTTATACCTTCCTTCTGCGACAGCTGTTCTTCCATATATTTAAAATATAATACCTTGTCAAGCAACACTGTTTCAATTATGAAGTTCCTCTTTGCATTGTGACAAAAGAAAATGTAATATTATTACACAGGAATTAATACAATGAGTATAAAAATTACATAGAATACAGTAATTTTAACAAATAAGAGGGAAGCCAAGGAATAGGAAAATAGATAAATTATTATGGAAGGTATAATATATCTATGACCAAAAGGGAAAACAAAAAGAGACAATTTAGATACAATTAAAACATTTACAAACTACTTGAAAAACACTGTAAGAACAGTGTGCAACTGCATTAGAACAATGACCACAGATGGCTTATAACACTTAAAATAAATAAAAATTATTGACAAGAAAGAGTTCACATTCCTTCCTTCTACATTATTCAATATTAATCATATCAAGAATTTCTGGATAGGCAGAATCACTGCAATAAATGTTTATTACTTGGTTATTTTCCATTAATGATATTATCACTACTTACAAAGTTTCTATATGAAACAGACATAAATTGCATAAGACATTCTGTACACTTGTCATCTTGCACAGTTTGGCATTAAATGGTTCAATTATATCAATAATTAAATTATAACACATATAATAGACCTCTATACAGTCACAAGAATGCATTTATTTATGCAGTATGTCCCAGGAAAATTGGTACCAAAGAATATCAACTGAGCTTTGAAAAATAATATTTCATAAAATCTGAGGTTTTTGTGGCTGTGAAGATTCAGATTGCAATCTTTTGAGTTTTGACATTCTACAGTCTGGTAAGTGGGTGCCAATGTTTTGGAGGAACACCACAATATGAACATATGTCATGGCTGATTTCTGAAATTTTGATTTTCAATCTTTCACAACACATGTTGCAGCTGGAAGACCATGCAATAAAGCTCATTTCCACCAATGTATTATTAAAAAAATATGACATAAAACTGATTTTAAAGTCTGTGTTACCATGTCGTTTATAATTAATTGAATAAACCAAAAGAATTATACAAATTATGTTACTCACAGAGACTTAAGAAGTGTTTCTACTATATTTCCACTATAAGAACATTCGTTATATATGGCAACACAATGAATCAGGAAGCTGTATCAGTCTTAAAACACAATGAATCAGGAAGCTGTATCTATCTTACATATCACTGATATCAATTAATAATCACTTAAGAAAATATTCAGTGACGTCTACTTATGGCTTGTAACCCATAAGGTAAACTGAAAAGATTGAATGAAGCCTGGCATGTTATATCTGGTTGGAAACCTAGAATTGTTCAGAACTAAAATATAAATACCGCAAAAATTTGTAAAGTGTTTAAAATGTGAAAGAGGAAGATACCAGAAAGCTGAACAGCCAGTAATTTAACTATTGTGACATGTTGACCCCTACCTCCCCAGCGGTAACGTAACGCTCGCGTAATAGGCGAGTTCCCGCCCCGCCACTCCCCTCCGCGGTGACGTCACCGAGGGATATCGCGGTCGCTAGGCAACGCGAGTCAACAGCGGCGACGTTACGATAGTAACAGCGGTTACCTCCGCTAGCGTTACATAGCAACACAGCGCCAGGCAAAAAGGGTGCCTATTACTTGGCCGTTTTCCATATGGTCCGATCAAGGCTACATGGGGAGCAGCGAAGGCTATTCACAGTCAGTTGTACTGAGTCAGTCAGTGAGTCCTGGAGCTACCGCCGAGTTAGCCAGCAACTAGTCAGTTGTATTGTGGCATTTGGAGTGTACTAATTGTGATACTGCAGATAGCAGTAATCGTAAATCTGTAATTTGGGTGATTGTATGNGCTAAGAGAAAGAAATTAATTGAAATTCTCATAGAAGTCAGATAATATACTCAATTAATTGATTATGGAAATATATGAAACTTGCACATCTTAAAAGCAGTAAAAATGGTCAGAAATGTCTGAACGGAAAGAAATTAATCAAAGTGCGAGAAAGGCTTATTCTCTCACCATTATTATTCATCACATACACAAACAAAATAATGAAGAACTGGGCGATCATCCAGGCATCAAAACATCTCAATTAGAAAAAAATTCTAAAAATGCCAAAACTATGACATTTTGAAAGAGTCAGGTCCTTCTGGTCAAATGTCAACATGACCTACAGTACTCATCATACAATTTGAATAATAAAGCCACAGAATTTTCCATAGAATGAATGGCTTTTATTGGAACAAATCAACAATTTTAAGTATTTGGGATATAGCATATTCTAAAAACATTTTCAAATTATCATTAGTTTCTAGGCATACAGCAATACATATTTATAAGACACTAGTTAAACCAATATTACCTTATGGTAGATAGTGAATCATGGACAACAGGAAGAGCTGATAAGAGAAGTCTGATATCATCAGACATGTGTTTCATGAAAACTGTAAGATACACTCCTTCCCACATAACCATAACCTAACCAAACCAAACCAAACCAAACCAAAAGAACCAACCAAGAGGAAAAAGAAATTTGGGAAGACTTTAGAAACAATGGAAGGATTCTGCTTTATAATATTCATAACTGGTCTCTTAATAGGCCTATTACTGGAAAAAGTTACGATTACTATAAACAAAAGTCAAATCAGCACTGAGGGAGTTACTTGACATTTAACAGACTGATTTTGTAAATAATATTATACATTGCTTATTTTAAAACACTTTAACACAGCATCCAGCATACAAGATTTTTCTGACTGCACTGAACACATTATTAAGACCACTGATGCACTATCATTCAATGCATCGTTGCAGAAGTGTAAATATCTGAGGTATATGAAAATGGATGTGTTCAAATGTGATGTACAGTTTTATCATTCATATCAGAGTGAGCTTACTTACACAAGGCAAGTACCATAAATATTTAAAACCTGGTACATGCTTCATATAAAACTGTCACTATCAGAAGAAGAAAGCAATAACAATACATTACAATTTCTGAGGAAAGTAATGCAAAACGTAATGAATTCACACTCAGAACATCATATTCTGTACTTTCACTGATTTATTTACAAACATTCTGCATGCCACTTCACAAATGTGTTGCATTATACAGAGAAAGGCAGTATCAGTTTTGCCAACATGTTGGAATGAAAGCAGACACCACAAAACACCTACTAAAAATGTAACCTGAAGCTGCTATATAGACAGAATGCCTTAGGAATAATATTTTAGCTACCTGATGTTTGTTGCCTGTGTTCCAAGTAAACTGAAGATATACTCTGGAAATCTTAATAGACTTATAACAAATAATGACATTATAGGGAAGGCTTATAGATATGAATCCTAGATTATATGCAACAAACACACACTGCAGACCACAAGTCCTCTAAGGGGATAATACAATTATGTGCTGTGGAAAACACAAACTTCTCGTTTCCAGCAAGGGTAAGAAGTAAACTAAAACTGTGTAAGATAGTCATCATCATAATCAGTAATCTGTCAGATGACAGGTCTACAGTCTCTTCAAAAACAATTCCTCCACTTAATGCGAACTAGAGCTTTCTCCTTCAAATGACAGTATCCTCTTCTGTCCCCAAGGTCATCCAGCATCTTCTTACGTCTTCTTCCTCGTCTTCTTCTCACATCTATCTGCCCCTTTATCTTTCCTTCAATAACTTCTTTTAGAAGGCAGTTTCTGCATAAAACATGACCAATCCAATTAGCCTTCCGTTTTCTTATTTCGTGTAGGATATTCCTCTGCTCACTGACTCTAATTAACCATTATTATAAAAGAGCACTATGATGATGGCAGCTGGATTCTGACTTGGGGTAATGTTACTTGCATGGAAACAATGTGATGCTAAGCCTGCTGGACCCATGCATCCACTGTCACAAGAGTGCAGCACCTGCTGAGGTGCAGCTGGTTATAAACCCAGCAGAAGCCTTTTGAAGTTTGTGTACAAATGACTTAAAGCAAATGTTCAACTGATTAAAAAAAGAGTTCAGTGGTGTTTTCACACTCCGAGTTTCAGAACTGGAGCTTATTTAATTTGCTGTAAAATCCTCTTTAGTAAAGGACCACTTACTACCATATATTAGCATGTAATTAAATATATGATAAGTTCTCATTTTGGAGTTCACCTAATAAATTATTAAAATGATAAAAGTAACATGCAATTTACGTACTGTAAATAATTTTCCAATAGCATCTAGCAGGATCATTATACACTGACTACACACTGCAATTATTGATTATACATTTAGACAATAAAATTATTGCTGTTCGGTTTGTTCATATTCTTCTAACGTAACATGGCTCATCTACAAAAACTCAATGTGGTTTACAATCAAAATGCTTTATTTTTAATTATGCATGGACTAATTAAATATTTAAATAGATTAAATATTTAGTGCCTGGCTTTTATCTCTGTGCTTAAGTAGCCAATTCTACCCCAGCTATTTGCTTTATATATATTGTAACGTGTCGGCAGACCAGAGGAGTAACTTCTATGGAAACGTCAGAATAGACCGTTGCATAAGAAGTAACAATAGCGATACTGTAATTCCAACAGTGAGCCGTTGTACCGAGAACATCGAATCTCCACGGTTACGAGAATAAGCGAAGGTTCCCACAGAGACAACGCGATAACAATGGGTTATTGCGTAGGGAACGCGGAACCTACAATGCAACGTCTCCACCGCTATAACAGAGGGTTCGTTACCTAGCAGCTGCCAAGGTTATAAAAGCTCAGCTTCGACGAGAAGTTTTCAGTTTAGGAACATCCGCTGGAGAAGACAGTTGAGGTGTCACAGGGAATAGTTCCGGTACTCGTGATTGTGTAAGCGTGAAGAACGAACAATAAAGGTTCTACAGAATTCGACAACGGAGTAAAGTTATTTGTAGCGTGACCCACAAAACACGCTACATTGGTGTCAGAAGTGGGATTCGAGCTTAAACACGCCTTGATTTAGGAAGAAGTACTGAATTTACACAAAAAAGGGGAAAAATGGAGAAGCAAGGCATTCAGCTACTACTCGAGATGCTAAAAGAAATGAGGGCCAACCAGGAAAAGGCGTCGGCCGATAGAAAAGCCTACATGGAAGAAACGGAGGCTGATAGAAAACCTGGCGGGAAGAGATGGCCGCCTGGCGAGAAAAGATTGTTGCAGAAACTGAAGCCACCCGAGCAGAAACAAGAGCCATCCAAGAAAGGACGGCCGCCATGCGAGAGAAGAGGTTGCAAGCCAATACGGACGTCTGGCGGGAAGAGACGACAGCCTGCCAAGATGTATTGGAGCCAGTCTCAGTGAACACGAAACCTGAGGCAACGCAGAGAGAAGAAGTCCCCGTAGATGACGCCCTGAGAATACTGGTCGGAGAACCGAAGAAAAGGCGTAGGGACCAGAAACTGGCCGCGGAGTGCCGCTGCCAGACAGCGAAGGATGCAACAGGGGAAAATCGTGGGCCCCAAAAGGAATTGGCCATCACACACAAAACGACATCCCGTCGCGCGACAGTGGCACAACGTTGGAGAAATGACTCCAAGAAGGAAGCTCCCAAGGGAACCTTCGGATGCCAGCGTAAAGAATTGGCTGACGCCCGAGGGACAAGACGCCGAGAGAAAGCGGCACGGAGAACGCCAGTAAACAAGAGGGTGTCCCTCCGTGCAAAAGTAGCACGACGTAGGGGACACATCATGTGAACCAACCCAACTTGGAACAACGTTGCAAGGGGAGCCCCTAAATGGCGAAGACTTCAGCGGCCGCACCAAAGGAGCGAGAGGACAGCCAGTCGGGCACTCAGGAAAATCATCGGGCTAAAACTTGTGAAGTTACCAGCGGGACTCCCCAGCGAGTTACCGAAAACTAGACACTGGACACTGTGGAGGGGCCGACCCCCTCCAAAACGAAAAAAGGGAAAGGACCCTTATGGGAGGAACCGGTAACTTGGAAGTACCGGCCGCCCCAACAAGAATGAATGGAGAACGAATGAATGTGAGACAAGGCAACCGACAAATTCTGGACAACGGGAGTGCTCGGGGGCGAGCACCACCGAAGAAAGGGGCGGATGCGGTTGGACGGACACCGCACGAAGATGCCAGCAGACACCAAGGCCGAATGCAGACGTGCAAGCAGAACACCGCAGAATCGAAACCGAGGGAGAACCTTTAGGCTGTTCGGGGACGAACAACCTTTAGAAGGGAGCAGTGTAACGTGTCGGAAAAACCAGAGGGGTAACTTCTATGGAAACGCTACAATAGACCGTTACAGAGGAGACAACAATTGCTCCATTCTAATTCTAACAGGAGTCTCCATGGTTATAACGGAGGGTTCGTTGCCTAACAGCGGGCAAGGTTATAGGTAGCCCAGCTTCAGCGAGAAACAACGAGTCTCGGAATAGTCTTCGAAGAAGAAAGTCGCGGAATAGTCTTCGAAGAAGAAAGCTTCGGATCGCCCGTCTAAGAAGTCAGTTTGGAATATCCGTCTAAGGAGTCAGTCTCGCCGGAATATTGTGAGCAGTGATTGTAGCACTGCAAGTGTAACGCCTGTAAAGTGTGTGTAAAGTGTGAGCGAAAGGAATAAATCCGCTATATTGGGACCACGGCGTGAACTTATTTGTAGCGTGACACACAAACACGCTACAATATATTATATATAGACACAAAGTTGTCAAGTTTTTACTTTAATAAATAGGAATGTGTTCCTTGCATTAGTCATTTTCAAATTATATGTGAAAGTAAAGGTTACAAGTGATATTATAAAATTTGAAAGAATGCAAATTTAATCACAGCAAACCACTGATGTGGAATTTTTAGCTGTATATGTAACTTGATACAGAAGACTTAATATTTTTATGACACAATACTGTAACGTGTCTTGTTACTGAAGACGCCGTTCGGATTGTTAATCGGTTTATTTTACAACCTACAAGTATCGGCAAAAATTAATTACAACACTTGCTGGGTTTCACAATTTATAACCCTATTCGCAATATTCAATTCACACTGTCTCCAGTAGTCTACACATTTCATAGTACGGGAGCTATATAAGTGTCACTGTATCACACACTCCCAATTAATTCTCAGGTATCACACACTGTCACTGATTATCAAACTTTTACTCGTTCACTGCTGACTGGAGAACTGTCGATCACACACTAACTGTCTCCGGGGATGGCTATACGTTAACTCGGTGACGGCCACATTTCAACTAACTCACGCTTACGGCTCAGCCGTCTTTTATTCCGTTGCCTGTTGCCCGCGTCAACAGCGTCGTTGCGTGCCACGTCACAGTAGGAAGCGGTGTAGCGTCATAGTAAGATCTGGTGCCACGTTGTCGTGTTGCGTCAACATGTCACAATACATATGACATTTATCAAATGTTCTTATGACAAAAGCTGATAGCCAGAATGTACAAGGAAAATATAATTACAATTGATTCTGTATTTCAGCATCCCGTTGCAATTGTTCAAATTAATGTCCATTATTTATCGTCCGTCATTATTGCAACACTCTTCCATTCACCACTCAAAGTCTGTCCAGGGTGTTTTGTCTCAGCAGCTTGCCCCTCACGTTTGTAGCCTACTTTGCAGTTATGACTGCCATATGCCCTTGGTTTGCTTGTTTCCTCCACAGCATGTGGTGTTGTCTTTACTAGTAAAGTACTACTAATAAAGACAACGGCACACACTGTGGAGGAAAGTAGTAAAATACTACTAGTAAAGACAACACCACACGCTGTGGAGGAAACAAGCAAACCAGGAGCATATGGCAGTCATAACTGAAAAGTAGGCTACAAACGTGAGGGGCAAGCTGCCAAGACAAAACACCCTGGACAGACATACATTTATGAAAATGGACGACACCTCATGTGAGGTGAAATAATAAGCCCCAAAATAACGTGGGTATAATAGAAACTCTAAAGGGATTTATCTGGTTTTACCTTGAAAAGAGGGATACAGAGTGTAATTTTAACATGAACTAATACAATGTGGCAGCTTTAACACTATTTAATCAGTTCATGTATGTTGACAGTCTCAGCTGTGTCCTGTGAATATTGTGAAAATTTCCTATACTTGTTCTCATCTTTGACAGTTCTACAGTAAAAGTGACATCATCTTTGACTTTTAAAATGATTTTTTGTAAGAAAACTGTAGTAAGGTAAAATTTATGGAAGTAGAAATGGAAACTAACCAAAGCAGGGAATCACAGAGACATCAGTAAAAGGAAAATTTTGTATTTTAGTCCTTCTTTCAATAAAATAAGTTTTCTTCCTTTCCTGTATAATCTGAATTAAATTGTCCTTTATTTATAAAAATAGGACCTGTTCAGAAATGAGTAGGCATAAAAGGGATATTTTCATTCCATATTTGTAAATACTTATAAATTACATTTCTCATTAGATATTGGCAGTTGTCTTCCTTCCCTACAATTTAACATGATAGTGTGATATGACATTTTTTATTTTGCTTATAATACCATGTTAGTTAAACTGTCCATTAAAAGAACTTTAATAGAGTTCACATAATGCTAGGGTAACTTTCCAAATATAGTAAACTTTCTGTTATTAGGGTTGATGAAAGGAAAGGAATTACCAGGAATAGAAAAACACAAGTGAAAAATACATATATGTTTAAAAACAAAATCCTGACAGATACGTTTTTCACCCATCCTTACTTATTGGTTATGTATCATACAGAACTACTTTATTTCATATTATCTTTGCTTGTTTTGATAACATTTTCTTCTTTTTTTCAGTGTAGGTGGTAACAACGCTTAAAATATTCATCTGTAATCATTATTTCTCTGTTTATACTTCTTTGTGGCTATGGCACTAGATAAGAAATATAGTGACAGTACTATCTTACACTTGTTAACAGATGATGGAAGGTGTACTAGTGAAATTAAATCCAGGATTGCCATGGCAAAAGCTGCATTTAGCAAGAAGAAGAATCTTTTTACCAGCAAATTGGACTTAAATTTGAGGAAGAAACTAGTGAAATGNTGGTGAATGGAAGAATGTTGCAATATTCATGGACGATAAATAATGGACGATAATTAATAGCTACATATAACTGTTTCTTACATACAGACAATATTCATACCTCAAGTTCCACAGAATACACCATTACATGGGCCTGAATGAAACTTACAGAAGATAGTAAAATGTAAGCAACCTTATGTGCACAACTGAAATATTAAAAACAAATATCACACAAACAGCTACACCTCAAAGTGAAATGAAAGAAGGAAAACTGAGCACTGTAGTTTGAATTTAAACTACCCTAATTCTATATATTGTGACTTGTTGCGCAACGGAGGACCCCCACCTCCCCAGCAATACGTGGCGGTAACGTAGCGCTCTCGTTACTACGGTAATAGGCGAGTCATCACCCCGCCACTTTCCCCACAGTGATGTAACGCGCAACGCGCGGTGACGCAAATACGGTTCCTACTGTGACGTGTCATGCAACGACGCTGTTGACACGGGCAACAGGCAACAGCGAACGGAATAAAAGCCGGCTGAGTGGTAAGCGTGAGTTAGTTGAAATGTGGCCATCGCCGAGTTCAGTTGTAGTCGAGTTAACCTGTAGCCGTCCCTGGAGACAGTCAGTGTGTGATCAACAGTTACCCATCTAGCCAGCGGAGAGTAACGAGTTAGCCAGCAACCAGTCAGTTGTATTCTGGCATTTGCAGTCTAGTATTTGTAATACTGAATATAGCAGTATTTGTAATACTGCAAATAGCAGTAATTGTGAATCTGTAAATTGTGTGATTGTAAGAGCGAATGTGAAATAGAAATCGCCACATCCAGCACGGCGTGAATTTATTTATCGCGTTATACTCCCAACAAGTGACAATATCTCCAGACTCCTGAATATGCAAACTTATAAGATAAAAAGGAAACAGAAACCAGCTCTATGAAGGCAAGACCATTATTAATCACAACAGTATCAGAGAATAATCATTTCTAATGTAATATTTGTTATCTTAGACCTATAAGGTCACTATCATTAAAACAAATAATGAACCAAAGCAAACACTTTTTGATTATTTTAACAACAATTTAGGCTTAATACAATTAATGTAACAATTTGATTTCACTTATGGAATTAAGTAAACAGATATTTATCCTTGTTCCAATAACTTATCAATATAAATTCCTTTCAAAATTTGTTGTCTGTTACATGTAATCAAATATATATCCTATAAAATATATACTTTTACATTATTTTTCAAAGCTCAGTTTCTATCAGTCCAATTATTCTGCTGCCTTTTCAATGTTGGAAGGTAATAGGAATAGTATTTACACGCTAAAGGAATTATTGCCCGTACAGGTACTCCAGCTTCACTCCTGTTTATATTACCAAATAAGCAAAAACGCCCACTTTTTGCCTAGGTTTTTCTTGAAGTGAACTTTACTGAAATAGTGAAATTGTTTATTCATTATGATAAACTTATAAATATACACTCCTGTTGACATCTGTTCTACTGTTTGCCACCATGACAATACTGAGGCATCAATTTAAATATCTGCCAAGCAGGTAAACAGCAGCTGACATAAATAACATATATCTATATATAAATAAAAATGTAACTATTCGTTTGGCCCTGATCGAAAATCTCCGAAAGTTCTTCATCGATTGCTTTGAAATTTTGATACAACGTTGCATTCGAACTCATGCTTGTTTTTATATACGTATTATATAGATGTCACACGTGTGACAGGTAAAAATATTCTTCTTTTGAAGAACAGAATTGGAATTTGGAATTCGGAAGAGTCACCCCTATGGAAACGCTAGAACAGACCGTTGCATAGGAAGTAACAATAGCAATACTGTATCGAATCTCCATGGTTACGACGAATACATGGAGCGTTCCCACAGATACAACGCAATAACAATGGGTCGTTGCGTAGGAATCGCAGAATCAACAAAGCAGCACATGGCTGAAGATATTTTCCGTCGAATACGCAAGGAAAATTCCAATATGATGATGGATTTCACAGCAGAAATCTACAACGAAGCGTTGATAGTTATCAATTATAATTGAAGATTTGTTCTTAGAAATCGCGAACAAAGTTCTCAATCAATTGTGAATGCCATCACCGAATCGATCTGCTGTTGCTTCGTTCAATGTAGAATTGCGTCGTGAACTAATTTACAAGACGGGTGATCTTTTGTCATATGTGCAATCAAATATTCCTAAGCTAACGCTTGAGCAAAAAGGCATTTACGATCAAATAATGCAAACTCAATAACGGGGTTGCAGAATTCTTCTTCTTATATGCGCCAGGAGGAACTGGTAAAACGTTCCTAATTAGATTGATTCTGGCAGCAATTCGATCCCAAAATGACAGCCTTAGCCCTTGCGTCGTCCGGAATAGCTGCGACATTGCTACCAGGTGGAAGAACTGCTCATTCCACTTTGAAATTGCCATTGAACATGCAATTGATTGAAACTCCCACGTGCAACAATTCCAAAGGATCAGGCATGGGAAGGGTATTGCAGAAATGCAAACGTATTTTTTGGGATGAATGCACAATGGCGCACAAAAAATCGCTCGAGGCTCTTCTTCGATCATTGCAAGATTTGCGTGGAACGCATTAATATTGCTTGCAGGAGATTTCAGGCAAACATTACCTGTAATTCCTCGATCGAAACCAGCGGACGAAATAAATACTTGCCTGGAATACTCTACTTTGTGGCTACACGTAAAGACGTTAAAATTAACTACAAATATGCGTGTCCAGCTGCAAAACGAACGATCGGCTGAGATATTCTCACATTAATTGCTGGAAATTGGGAACGGAAAGGTGACGGTTGATCTGACCTCAGGACGAATTTCGTTGCCTCATAACTTCTGCAATTTAGTGACGTCAAAAGAAGAATGGTTGAAAAAGTATTTCCCAATATTCAAACCAATTATAAGAATCACAATTGGCTGAGTGAACGAGCTATTCTTGCGGCCAAGAACAAAGACGTCTACTAACTTAGCAATACCATTCAGTCTAACATTCAGTGCGAGGCACTCACATACAAGTCCGTCGACACTGTTGTGGAAGCAGATGATGTGGTTAATTATCTAACAGAATTTTTTAATTCACTCGATCTGCCACAGCAACGCATGGCCGGGTACAGCTAGTTTATCTATATAAATAAAAATGTAAATGTTCGTTTGTTAGCCCTCGAATATCTCCGAAAGTTCTTCACCGATTGCTTCGAAATTTCACACAACTTTGCATTCGAATGCGCGCGTGTTTTTATACACCTACAAGCTGTACCCGGCCACGCCTGAATCCGGAAAGTATACTTCCATGGAAACGCAATAACAGTTGCATAGGAATTGCCGAAACAACAAAGGCGTTTCCAAGGAGATCAAAGGATAAGAGGTTCCGTTGGGTAACAATGGATGAAACCGGAAAGTATACTTCCATGGAAACGCAATAACAGTGGGCCGTTGCATAGGAATTGCCGAAACAACAAACGCGTTTCCCCGGAGATGAGAGGATAAGAGTTTTCGTTTCGAAACAACGGATGAAACCAAACACTTCTACAAGGTGTTCTGTGCTAGCATTTCCTAAGCAACAGACGAAACTAACTCTTCTATAAAGTATTCCCTATCCCGTCCGAACGCTGACTATATGTATAAGGCGACTCTTCAGTATCACGAATGTCTCGAGTATCACGAGGTCACAAGTATCACAAGAGATTCCGAGTGAAATCACGGCACATATCCTGAGTTTGCACTCAGAGTTTTGGATTCAACTCTGGCAGAGTTTCCCCGGTGATAGACAACAGAGGCTGTGTCGATTTCGTTAGACAGCCACAGCAACGCGTGGACGGATACAGCTAGTATGTTTATATATACATTAGTCAGTTCCCACCACCAAAACAGCAGCATAAAAACATCACTTCTGCATTGCAAAACTACTTACGGGCACCTAGCAGCCAGATTATAGATGGAGAAATGGGGAAGACTGGATAAAAGGGTTTTACATATATAAGATTATTAGCTCTAGAAATATAACACAAAGCACAGAGGAGGTGTAGAAAAGGTTTTATATTAAGAACACTGTCTCAATTTAAATAAAATTAAACAATTAGAGGAGGAAGGGGATAATTTTTACAAACAATGTTTCTTCCTGAAACTGGATTCATTACACAAAAGTGTGACTGTTCTAATGCTTGATACTAACATCAGAAAGCATTTATCTGTAATAATCATCTTCAATGAAACATAAATCCTATGTATCCTGCTCATACAACAAAAAATCAAACTGAATGCCTAAAGTGACCTGGGCAACAAAGACCTTTAACACACAACTGCTCATAAATAATCAATCACACAACATATAAATCACAATTAACCAAAGACAACCACTTTTTTTAACTGTAATGCCTCATGTAATGGCATACAGTGTTTATTGTCTTGTTTCATTTTCTGTCAATCAGAGAAACATGTCACATTTTACACCACCATTTATTTTGTCTTGGTCAACACATACTTATTCTCATGATCCTGTACAGTCTAAAGTAACACCCCACTTCTCCACTGGGGTGCTACCTGTTTTCTGAATCCATGACCACTTGTTTAAATACTCCTGTTGGCATTTGACTCTTCACCTCATGGCTGTCCAGTGCAGTTCTACCATCCTTTGCAATAAAATGGTGCAGACCTGATGCTGAAAATCCACATAAAAATCACATTAAAACAGACTGCAAGCACAAGAATAATTTTGTTTAAGAATAAAGCAATCACACATTTTTTAGAACTCCTATTCAAGGACATGGCTTCCATAAATTCATGTCTAGGATCATATAAAGAAGTACCCCTTTCCCTGGTCAATTCTGTCTAGTACAGATGACGGGAAGAAGAGCACAATTAAATACTGAACCTCATTATCGATTTTCTTCATTTTGTTCCACAATTCGTTATTTCTAGCTCTTCACCAACATTTACTTATTGTTCTCTCACACTAATGTCACCCACATCTGAAAAATTTCTCATTCACTCATTTACTCAAAATCTTTTTGTTTCTTTACAAACATGGCAAAATTAACACCATGCAAATACATGCACAGTGAGTTAAAGAAGATATACTTACACTCTTGTAGTTCAGGGATTCTCAGATTGTGGTCTACATAGAGCATTAGGCCTTTGGAAGTTCCTCATTACATTGGTGGGAATTTTACAGCTAACCAACTTATTAAGGTAGAAAGCTAAAATTATCCCTGGGTCTAATTAATTAATTAATTAATGAAAATACCAAGAAGATGTGGGGGAGTAGAGGTATAGCTCCACCATTCTTAACCTCGGCACTAGATGGAGGCGAGTGGTCAGCTTCACACACCTGCAGCTTCTTCCCCTGGGGAAAGAGTCCCTGATAACCACTGTATAGGAAGATGAGTAGGCCTCAAAGCTGATCTGGATGTTATGGGAATGAGAAAAAATCTTGCCTCTACTGAGAAACAAACCCCAACTCCTCAGTCGTCCAGCTCATAACCTAGTTGTTGTGCTGACTGAGCCATCCTAATTTCCAACAAGCTTTATTATTAAAGAATAAAGGCACAGACGTGCTTCTGGGGCCACTGTGAGAACTGTTATATTGAACGACAGAAAACTATACCCAAGATATGTACATATGTACAATGCAGCTTCATGCCATTATTTTATTGACATTAAAGAAATTAAAAAACTAAGAAATCCACAATCTTTCCAGGATGACGTTATGCTACTGGTACCCGATTCATCTTCTTCTAAATTGACAGATCTCAAGATTTCATCAATGACGCTCTCTGGGTCCACTCTTGTCGCTTCCAAACATTTCCATCGGCCCCCCTCTTTGTATGTTTTCTTGCATTTCTATAGAGCTGCCTATGCTCGGTCACGTGACCCAGTCTCACTTAATCCTGATCCAGAACTTGGATTTCTCGAACAATAAACACAAATCTCTAACAGCTGAACACACTGAATACTAGTCACACCGATTAATAGTGCTGCTCATTTCACAACTGTACAAATGAGAGTTGCATCCGTACAATACAAATAAACTAAATGCTTCTTCTTTGCTTTCAACAAGGTCATAAAATCACCATTCTGATAACATACAATTCAATACTTCTGTGGGATATCATATTAAGAGACAACCACTAGTTGAACGGTCCTATAGTATTTATTACAGTTGCACCGTATACACAGACGAATTTGCATTTGAAGAATTGAAGAAGAATAATAACAATAATAAACACACTGAACCAGAATTGTAGAACTGTAGAATTTGGAACTGTGACTGTGACTGTACCTTCCCTTGTAACCTACAGTCGGACATATAGAAAACAAGTCACTGTCTGTATTATTGTGGGTTTTGCCTAGCCACAGCTGTTTACTCGTCGTTGCTAAGCAATGAAGCTTGCGGTGTCACACTTGCTGAATGTGGGCAGTTCCCACATCATGGTACGAAATGCGGAACCGTGGTTGTGGTTTCGTCGGCTGCGGGGTTGAAGGTATTGGTGGTGGTCCCACGGCCTCTCTCGTTTAACATGTAGGCAGGTTTGACCCTATCGGTTAACACGGTGACCATCCTGCCACGCACGGGGATTTGCATTGTCTTGTCCTTCCGTGATAGGACCTGGTAGGGGCCTCTGTAGAGGGGCTCCAATGCTCTGCGAGTAGTGACCTGCCGGAAGATGACGTGCTTGCATTTCTTGAGATCACTGTGCACGAATGTAGCCGGGGAGGCATGGTGTGTTGCTGGAATTGGTCTGAGGCGGGCCATATATTGGCGAAGTTGGGTGATGAGGTGCACTGGATCCACTGGGTTGGCAGTCGGAGTTAGCGCAATCCTGGTATTCTTAGTGGCTCGCCGTACACGAGCTCAGCTACTGATTCCTGCAGGTCCTCTTTGAATGCCGTGCGGATTCCGAGGAGAACCAGGGGTAGGGGTTCTGTCCAGTGTTGGTCTGCGTGGGAAATGATGGCTGCCTTTAGTACTCGGTGGAAACGTTCCACGACTCTTTAGTCGCTGGGTGGTGAGCAGTTGTTCGGGAGAGTTGAATGCCATAGAGCTTGGCGAGGGAGTGGAAGATTTGAGATTCAAACTGACATCCCTGGTCGATGGTAATGGTCTCTGGGCAACCGAAGCGGGATATCAAGCCGGTCAGTAGGGCTCGTGCCACTGTGTCGGCTGTGATGTCCGGGATGGGGATGGCTTCTGACAAACGGGCTAAACGGTCGACTGCAATGAGGCAGTATATTTAGCCTCCTAATGTCGGAAGGGGTCCAACAAGGTCTATTTGGACGTGAAGAAATCTGGCTGACGGCGTTGTAAAGTCGCCCAGGGGAGTGACTGTGTGGCGGGAGACTTTGGAGCGCTGGCAGGATTGGCAAGCTCGTGCCAAGGTGCGGCAATCATTCTGAATGCCTGGCCACACGAAACGCTGTGCGACCAGTTTTGCCGTTGCTTTGGTCCCTGGGTGCGTCAAATCATGGACGGACTGGGACACTTCGAACCGTATAGGAGCTGGGATGTACGGCCGAGGTGTCCCGGCACAGGTATCGCAGTAGATGGACACCGTGGTACCGAGGATTGGTAGCTTTTCGAGCCGCAAACGGTGTTTGACTGCCAAAGCGATTGGAGCTCGTCGTCGCTGACCTGCGATGCGGCCAATGTGTCGTAGGATGGTGGCGCAGTGACGGACTTGAAGCGGGAGAGCGCATCGGCAAAAACGTTGTCCTGTCCCGAGATGTGTCGGATGTCGGTCGTGAATTGTGCTATGAAATCCAGGTGGTTGAATTGCCTAGGTGAGCATTTGTCCCTTTTCTGCTGGAAAGCGTAGGTGATAGGTTTGTGGTCTGTAAAGATGCTGAATGCAGCTGAAGATGCTGGGTACAATGTGAGTGCAGAGGCCCATGAACTCTTTGATCGACGAGCTTTACCATCCCGCAACATGGCGTCGAACTCGGCTTTTGTGATAGCGAGTCGCTCCGGTGCCAGTCGCCGTGGTCGGCAGGTTACTGGTGGGCTAGGTACAGTCCTGATATGTTGGACGGTGTTGTGTCGTATCTCGCGCTGGACTCAAGCTGGGCGGGTCAGTTCCGGGAAATCTGTGAGGAGGCTGTCGATCGGTGTGTTGCTGCTGATTGTCTTTACACTGGGAATCAATGCGTTGGCCGCTGAGCCCGGGACTGACAGCTTCGTGACACCGTCCAGAATGGGGTTGTTTCGACAGTCCACCAGGGGACCGAAATGCGACAGGAAGTCCACGCCGATGATAGGATGCGACACGTCGGCCACCACGAAGCGCCACGTGAATTCTCGGCGTAGGCCTAAGTTGAGGCTGAGAGGCAGCCATCCGTATGTGTGGATGGTAGTGCCATTAGCCGCACACAGGTCATAGTTGGTAGGTTCCATGCATCGATGGACGAGGCCCGAACTTCGTGTCGATTAGGAACCGCCGTTTGCTGACTGTCCGTTATGAAGAGGCGGCCTGTTATCGTAGCGCAGACATGTGCCGCCGACGATGTCCGCTGCGTCAGGTTCCCTGTTGGCGGTAGGAGCAGGGCGGAGTACAGTTTTGTGCCCGAGCGATGAAGCGGCGGTTGTACCCGCAAATACTGAATGTGGTGTCGCCCCGGGAAGGGGATCTGCTGCCGGGCCGGCGATTGTTGAAGGCGGGGCGGGGACCCTTGGGACTGGAGCCTCTGTCTCTCCGTTTGTTGTCGGACTTCCTGAAGCGGGGGTGGAGGTGGTCCTGTTCGGTGTTGAGTGCAGCCACTTGGCGGGAGAGTTCAGCGATCTCCTGCCGAAGTGCGTCGATGTCCGTGGGTTCATCAACGCTAACGAGCGCTGACTGGACTTCGACCTCCGAGATGCGGCCCGCACAGAGGGCTGCGGCCTCCAAGTTGCCCTCTTTCTGGCCGGCGAGGAAGCTCTTCACGTTGCGTGGTAGCCGGCTGGTCCAGACGTTTCGGATGACGTTATCAGACACGTCTGGTGCGAGACTTTTGAGGTACCTCAATTTCTTCGACCGTGAGAAGTTGCCGGAACGCTGCTCTGGCGATGAGAATAGCCGCCTCACAAGCTCGGTTCTCAGTAAGGTGTAGGGGCCTCGTTCGGGTGGAGAGGTGATGATATCCTCCACCGCTCTGAGTATCGGTAGTCCAGATGTGCGATGACGTGGCAGAACTTGATCCGCTCGCTGGTAATGACGGCCAAGGTGAATTGCGCCTCGGCCTGGGCGACCCACATGGCCGGTCTATCGGGCCAGAACGGCGGGAGCCGCACGGCCATTCTGGGCAATTCTGCTGATGAACTGTCTGCGGTTTCCATGTTCAGTCGGGGTCACCAATGTGGGATGTCATATGAAGAGACAACCACTAGTTGAACGGTCCTATAATATTTATTACAGTTGCACCGTATACACAGAAGAACTTGCGTTTGAAGAATAATAAGAACAATAATGAACACACTGAACCAGAATTATATAACTGTGGAATCTAGAACTGTGACTGTATCTGTATCTTCCTATGTAACCTAGGGTCGGGCATATAGAAAACCAGTCACTGTCCGTATTGTTGTAGGCTTTGCCTGCAACCGCTAATTACTCGTCGTTGCTAAGCAATGAAGCTTGCGTTGTCACACTTGTTTGAATGTGGGCAGTTCCCACACTTCCAAGCACTTCC